TTTGAGATCTGGTATAGTGATCCCTCTAGTGTTGCTGTTTGTGCTCAGGGTTGCTTTGGCTATCCAGGGTCTTTTGTGCTTCCATATGAATTTAAGGATTTTTTTTTCTAATTTTGTGAAATATGCGAATTTTGATTGGGATTGCATTGAACCTGTATATTGCTTTTGGTAGGATGGTCATTTTCACGATATTAATTCTTCCAATCCATGAGCATGGGAGGTTCTTCCATCTCCTGGTGTCTTATTCAATCTCTTTCTTTAAAAATTTAAAATTTTCATTGTAGAGAGATCTTTGGTGTCTTTCGTCAGATTTATTCCAAGTTTTTTTTTGTTTTTTTTTTTTTCCAGCAATTGTGAATGGGAGCATTTCCCTCTATTCTTTTCCAATTGCTTGTTATTGGTATATAGAAAGGTGATTAATTTTATAACCTGACACTATACTGAAAGTGTTGATCAGTTCTGGGGTTTTCTGGTGAAACTTTTGGGATCTCTGCAAAAAGTGATAGTTTGACCTCTTCTTTTCCAATTAGTACTCCTTAGTTTCCTTCTCCTGTCTTACTGCTCTAGCAAGAGTTTCAAGCACTGTGTGGAAAAGGAGTGGAGATAGTGGACAGCCTTTTCTGGTTCCTGATTTCAATGGGAATGGTTCCAGTTTTTCTCCATTTAGAATGATGTTGGCTGTGGGTTTGTTGTACATAGCTTTAATTATGTTGAGGTATGTTCCCTCCAACCCAATTCTGTCTAGGACTTTGAACATAATGCATGCAGAATTTTGTCCAAAGCCTTTTCTGCATCTATTGAGATGACAGTGTGGTTTTTGACTTTGAGTCCATTTATAGATTAATGACATTTTATTGAATTGCATATATTGAACCAGCCCTGCATCTCTGGGATAAAGCATACTTGATCATGGTGCATGATCTTTTTGATGTGTGTCTGTATGCTGTTTACAAGTAATTTGTTGAGAATTTTTGCATCTATGTTCATTAAGGATATAGTTCTATAGTTTATATTTTGGTTGTGTCTTTACCCGGTTTGAGTATTAGAGTGATGCTGCCTTCATAGAAGGGATTTGGGACTTCTCCCTCTCTTTCTATTGTTTTGAATAATTTTAAGTAGTATTGGTTGGTGGTCTTAGCTTTAAATGTCTGGTAGAATTCTGCTATAAATCCATCTGGGCCTGGGCTTTTTTTAGTTGGGAGGCTTTGTATTACTGTTTTGATTTCCTCATATGTTACTCTTAAGGCCATTTGAGGATCTGTTCTCAGGGGTCACATGGGCTTGGGAGGAGCCCCGGCTCCTTTTACCAGTTCCATCTATGTGAAGATAAGTCAAAGGTCCTGCACGATCATGGCTGGCTTCTCTTGGAAGCATGGAGCAAATGTTTCCTCTGTGTTGACCCTCCTCTTTGTAGTCTGGACACTGGTTCAGGTCCATCTGGTGGGATCTCCACGGCCTCCTTGATCAAGAGGACAGGTAACTCACCACAGTTACAGTAGATTTTGAGAGAGGCTCATAGTCCTCTGGAACTTGGTCAACCTAGGAGGGCAAGGAGCAAAAACTGTCCTTTATATCCCTCTGACCAAATTAGTATAGGCTTCAAAGTATGGCTGTTAAACATCCAAGAGGGTTAGTTCCACCAGTCTGGTACTTTTAATTACCATGTGCCGTGTAGCTAAATCTTGGGCAAGGACTGAACGTTCTCAGATAAACCTTGTCTAGACTTATATTCCTTGATCTAGTTGTATGTATAATCTGTCAGTAGGTTGTTGGAGTAATATGGTTCCCTCTGGTTTTTTAAAAACTAACTAGGCATTTTTTTTTTTATCTCTTGCATTGTGTAACCCTTCCACCATGATTTCCCCATTTAAGGTGCCCCCATTTTTCCTATTTCTCTCTTAATAATACCCTTCACATATGTTCCCACCTCTCTTGAGCTTCTTTTTTCCCTTTATCCCCTAGGTTCCTTGTATAACCGTCCCTTCCCCTCCCCCTTAAAATAACCCCATTTTTATCCATATCTCCCTTATTAACACCTGTTTCCTACTGTTCTCTTTCAGATTCTTTCTTTTTCTTTACCTCCCTGGTTCCTTTTCATTATCCTGGTTCCTGTAGTTATGTCTGGATACATACTCACTTATCAGGATTTGGTTCTAGGATCCACATGTAAGGGAGAACATATGTCTTTTTTTTTTTTTTTTTTTCTGAGTCTGCCTTACTTCACTTTGTATAACAGTTTCTAGTTGTAACAGTTCCATCCATTTACCTACAAATTTCGGTTTTTTACTGCTGAATAGAACTCCATCGTATAAATGAACCACATTTTCATTTTCTGCTCGTCAGTGAGGGACACTTAAGTTGCTTCTATCTCTTAGCTATTGTGAAAAGAACAGCAACAAACATGGATGTACAAGTGTCTTTGCAATAGGATGAGTTCTTTGGGTGTATGCCATGGAGTGGTATAACTGGGTCAAATGGTAGGTCCATTTGTAGTTTTTTAAGAGCTCTCCACACTGGTTTCCATAGGGGTTGTACAAGTTTGCAGTCCCACCAGCAGTGGATGACTGTTCCCCTTTCCCCATATCTTCTCCAACATTTGGTATCATTTGTTCTCTTGATCTTAGCCAGTCTGGCTGGGGCAAGATGAAATCTTAAAGTGGTTTCAATTTGCATTTCCCTAATTACTAGTGATGCTGAGCACCTTGTAAGATGCTTGTTAGCCATCTTTATTTCTTCTTTTGAGAACTCTCTATTCAGTTCCTTAGCCCATTTTTTAATTGGGTTACTTCCTTTCTTGATTCTTTGTTTTTAGAGTTCATTATATATTCTGGATGTTAAACCTCTGTCAGATGTGTTGCTGGTGAAGATTTTCTCCCATTCTGTGGGGTTTCTCTTCACTTCCTTGGTTGCATTTTTTTGATGTACAGAATTTATACATAATTTTTGTTTTATTTTTTACATTTGCTTTTGTTGAAATGGTCTACTTGGCAGTCAGGGGAGACTAATGCCTAAATGAACTCTAGACCTGGCAGAGAAGCAGGGCAGGGTTCATGAAACTTAAAAGTAAATTTGCATCATGTCAGGGGTGAAGCCATTAACAATAGTTACATCAGATCACTGTAGTTGCAGCAAACCAGAGGAAGGTCAGTTGACAAAGAGGTCAGCTTACAAAACGTTTCTTAGAATTGCAGAAAAAAATGGGTTCTTTGGAACTGCAGGTATAGCTTGGTGGGTGGTGCTACCTGGACATGCTACCTGTAAGTGTCTCCATACTGTAGAAACAATGTACCCCTTGAAAGTATATGTGTAGCATTCATAACTAACTGGCTCTGTCTGGCTCCAGTGAGAATGGCTAGACAAAACCACAGATTAAAGTAAAAGTCAGGTAGGACAAAATGGAGTTAATTTTGCCATTTCATTCCTCCCTGGTCTCAGGGCACAGTCAAAGCATTGGCTTACTATCCTCAAGTGAGAGTAGGTTGTACTTGGCTCTCAGGTACATTAATTTGAGGAGGTTATCTGTTGTTTGCCAAAGTTCAGTAACCAGTTAATAGGCAAAGCCCAATCTGTAGACCCAGGAGGAGAAGGACAGAGGTCTTGTTAAGGCTTGGAAATATAGTAGTCAGTCATGGATTCTAATCAAACCAGTGACGGAATGAGGAATTGTTGACATCTCTCTCCTTTCTGAACAGGTGTCAGGGTATAGAGGAGGGAACTTGGATGATATCTCAGACATTAAAATGGTCCTGTTGGAGAGATTGAAGATTTTTAAAGAGAATAGTCAGTTTTCAGAGTCCTTAGTCTAGGCAGTAGGGAAGTCAGACTTCTGAACATAATCTTATATGGGGTGAAAGTGCCTTATAGGGAATACATCTAACCTGGAGACCAGGGTCAGGTGGTTGGGCCAACTTTCATGGGTCTCTGAGATGAATTTAGCATTATATGAACCAATTAACAGAGGCAGCCTAAACCTAGGATTTATCTCCTGTAGGAGGCTTTTTACCATTGTGAGGGAAAGGCCTCCTCTATCCAATTGGAGAATGTGTCCACAGTACCAGAATGTAGTTTAGACAGGGGAGAGCCTAAAGCCCACAGAACTGTCCAGAAGCACTGAGGTTCTTCAGGGGCTTAAGCAGCCCTTTTGATGCTCTGAGCCCAGAGAACCCTGAGCATTAAACCAACAGGAAGATAGGATGAAAAGTATTTGAAGTGAATGTGACTTGTAACCCATTTTCTGTACACAATTGCAGATTATATCCATTATTTTGTACAATTGATCTAGTGCAAAGGCTGAAATTTTGCTGTTGATAATCTCCACAGTTGCACATATTATATAATTGCAGCATAATATTTTCTTAGCATTTTATTTCTAAGGCAAAAAGTTTATTGTTTTATAAAACATATCCTGGAGATGAAAGAGATGTATAAATAATAAGGTGGATTAAAGGAAGTATTTGAAAAATCTGTCCTTCATCGTGAAGGGAAGATAATTACATAGAATAACCAATGAAGGATTCTCCTGCTGTTTTTCAGGGCTAAGTAAATAAACGTCAAATACATGTATAGTAATCCTTTCATTAACCTACAGTCCTGCTTATGAGACAGGATAGATGACCTGCCTATCTCCAATCCTTAACAAATAGATGAAAATCTTCCTATTTGTCATGACATGTGATATAGTATGATGGATATACAGTTGATATAATGGAGGAATGGAACACAGGGTTAAAATAGCATTTGTAAATTAACATGGAGAAAGTAATAGCTGAGAGGTCCGTAAGCAACTGATCTCTGCATATTTCAAGATTAAGAAAGCAACAAGGAGACATGAGTTAGCTCTGCCATGTCTTACTGTGATTTGTTATATGCATTATGGATCTATGTTTACACTTATTACTCTGTATAATTTTAAACTAACGTAATGTAGGTACTTCATGCTTATGCTTGAGTTTAATAAACAATGTTTAACTTGAGGTTGGTGATATTTAATATCATTTCAGGTGCCCCTATTACTAAGAGTTGCCTGGAAATTCAAGAGACACAAGTATGGCAAGTGGGAAGCACCAAGAATATTCCAAGTGAAGTGATCACTGAAGTAGGTAAAACATTAATGCCAGCATAAACCATGTTTTGAATATAAATGTACATATAGGAAGTGCTTAGATTGTTTTCTCAGTAACTTAACCGGTGGTAGAATGAACTACTTTTCCATTGTGAGCTTGATAAGTTGTACTTAAGAAACTTCTGGAAGTTACTATTCAGTTACTATTGGAAATCCTGTGTTTCTTTAACTCTGCAGGATATTTCTCATGTCAGTAACCATAGTATGTAATATATATTGGCTAATTAACTGTATGAAGACTAATGTCAGTAAATGATTCAGTGCCCACTGGGAACTAATGATATAAATGTATTTTCTATGAAAAATCTTAAGGCATTTTATCACGCTGATCATAGAGGCACACACCCTTAATCCTGGCACTTGTAGGCAGAGGAGGAGTGGATCTCTGAGAGTGTGAGGCCAGCATTGCCTCCATAGCAAGTACCTGACCAACCAGGCCTAAATAGTGAGACCCTTTTTCAAAAAAGAAATAAACAGTTAAGATATTTTATCTCACAGAGCATCATTAAGCATATGCTGAAAAAAACCCTATTGATAAAACAAGTCTAACAAAATTCTTTTGTCTCAAGGCAGAGATGAGGATTCAACCAAAACTCCATCAAACTGCAAAATCCTATGAAAGTGAACCATGTATGAAAATGATTAATCTCATGTCACAGCACCCCAAGACAGACACATATCACTCAAGTGTGGAATCATTTGAATCCAAGAAATGCCAGAAAGATTTCTGCTCTAAGTCCAGTGTCACTGCACATCAGAGCCTTCATAGAGGCGAGAAGCCGTATGAATGTAAAGATTGTGGTAAATATTTCTTACGCAAGTCAAACTTCATTAATCATTGGAGAATTCATACAAATGAGCAGCCCTTTGTATGTAAAGAATGTGGCAAAGCTTTCTTCTACAAGTCAAGCTTTACTCGCCATCATATTTCTCATACACCTGAGAACATTTATGAATGTGCAAAATGTGGTATCTCTTTCTACCACAGGTCAAAACTCACTGAACATTTGAGAACTCATACAGGTGAGAAACGTTATGAATGTATACAGTGTGGTAAAGCTTTCTGCCGCAGGTCCGTCTTCATTAGACATAAGAGAACTCATACAGGTGAGAAGCCATATGAATGTAAAGAATGTGGTAATTTTCTCTCCTGCAAGTCAGCCCTCACTGACCATCTGAGGACTCATACAGGTGAGAAGCCTTATCAATGTATACAGTGTGGTAGAGCTTTCTATGGCAAGTCAGCCTTTAATAAACATCGGAGAACTCATAAAGGTGAGAAGCCCTATGAATGTGAAGAATGTGGCAAAGCTTTCTTTTCCAAGTCACGCTTAGACTGCCATCATAGAACTCATACTGGTGAAAAGCCTTATGAGTGTCAAGAATGCAAGAAAGCTTTTTCCTCCAAGTCAGGTCTGAAAACACATCATAGAACTCATACTGGGGAGAAACCCTATGAATGTAAAGAATGTAATAAAACTTTCTCCTACTCCTCTTCTCTCAGAAAGCATCGTAAAATGCATACAGTTGAGAAACCCTATGAATGTGAAGAATGCGGTAAAACTTTTTATTACAAATCAATTCTCAGTGCACATTGCAGAACACATACAGGGGAGAAGCCTTATGAATGTGAGGTTTGCAAGAAAGCTTTTTCCTCCAAGTCATTTCTTAGTATACATCATAGAACTCATACTGGTGAGAAGCCCTTTGAGTGTGAAGAATGCAGGAAAGCATTTTCCTCCAAGTCACTTCTTAGTGTACATCGTAGAACTCACACAGGTGAGAAGCCTTATGAATGTCCAGAATGCAGGAAAGCCTTCTCCTCCAAGTCAGTCCTCAATACACATCGTAGAACACATACAGGTGAGAAGCGCTATGAATGTGAAGAGTGTGGTAAAACTTTCTACTACAAATCATTTCTCAGTGTACATCATAGAACTCACACAGGTGAGAAGCCCTATGAATGTAAAGAATGCAGGAAAGCTTTTGCCTCCAAATCTGGTCTCAATGCACATCATAGAACTCATACTGGTGAAAAGCCCTATGAATGTGAAGAATGTGGGAAAGGTTTCTCCTCCAAGTCAATTCTCAGTGCACATCAAGGAATTCATACAGGCAAGAAGACCTGTTAATGTGAAGAATATAGGAAAACTTTCTCTTCCAAGTCAGGTCACAGTGCACACCATGGAACTCATACAGGTGAGAAGCCATATGAATACAAAGATTATAGAAAAAATTTATTCTCCAAGGCACACTTATCTTCATATAATAGAACTCAATAAACCCTATTAAAGATGTAGTTAAAATAATGTAAATTCTGGGAGGTGTAAACAGCATCATCTTCCCCACCCCATGTTGGACCCTCTGATAAAAAGAGATTTGACTTCACCAAACTACAGTCTCGGAAAGCAGTGAGTTTATTGAATTTACTTACAGAGCTATGTGTGAGATTTCACATACAGAAATGTGAGTGCTTCCCCACCCCCAGGATCTGCACTGCAAAGTTTTCATCCAAGCATTGATGGTGACTTTCCCACAGTTGTGCAAAATGACAAGAGACACTTCCCACTGCTTCCTCAGCTTGTACACCCTTAGGCCCTCCCCTGTTTAGTTGGGAGGTGTGGCTCACTGTCCCTGCCCCTTCTTTCTTGCATAACATAATGGTCAACAAGCTTGGCTGTGATGATTCTAGGTAAGTGAGTGCCACAAAATTTGGTTAAAAGGCAACTGTCCATGGTTTGTTGGTTGGAGGACAATCCTATGCAACAGTCCATCCTTTCTTCCTGGTCTTATGTTCTTTCCTTCATCCTCTTCTACAGGAGTCCTTGAGCGAAGGCCAGCCATCCAGCAAAAGGGAGTTTCCAGATAAATCCCTGAATGATTTCTCCCTTTCTGTGCCCACATCCTGTGGTGTCTTTGGCAATAGGGTCTTGCCTTCTAGTTCTGGTTTGCAACCAACATTAGTGGCAGTAGCCTTTATTGTTTGGGGGTCCTTCAGACCCTCTCTGCCAGCAGCTCATGGGGAGCAACCCACCCTGATAGTGCGATTTTCATATCCTGTAGGATTCCTTCTATGTTAAGGCTTTTAACTGCTATGTCAGCAACCCATTTTTTTTTCTTTCAATTATCCCTGCCCACATAGAATTATAGGGAAGGTGGAAATACCACTGAACCTGGCTATCCTCATCCCAGGTTTGGACATCAGTTCTTGTGAAATGAGTGCTCCATCACTATCAATTCTCTGTGGGCACCCACACACGACATTGAGTTGGGTAAAGCCCTTAATTGTAACCTTACCTGCTGCTGCTCATTTGTTATAAAAGGTCACCATATGGCCTAGGGCTGTGTCCACACAAGTGAGAGCATGCTTGCATTCTTCACGGGCTGTCAGGGGCCCTAGAATGTTTTCCCACAAGGGAAAGATGCACACCTTGTACTCCTGTGGGGGGCGGTGGATAATTGCTCAACCCCAGAGTGAGTCTAATCCACTTTACCTGTATGGTTTTATCTCATATATGTCCACTGCCACCAACTGGCCATCGTGATTTTGCAGGTTGCTGTGAGTACACTCTATTCCAGTATCCACTAGGGCCCATGTGTTTTATATATTTGTGGGGTACCAGTAAATCCTCAGTTCAACATGGGGCCTCTGGTCACCCTGTATGGCCATCTGTGGGAAACCTTGGTTACATCTTCAGCACAGTGGCTGGGGGGTGGGGCTCCCATCCCAAGAGACTGCATTCCTCTGTATCAGGTGGTACAGTGGGAATCACCTCTTCTGTAGTAAATTGCTGGTCTTGCTGTAATGCCCTCCATAGGCTACACCAGCACAGTGCTTTCCCATAAATTTTGTCCCTAGTGACTCCTGCTCAGCACAAATCCAGCCACATCTGTCCTTGGGAAACACAGAGGGGCCCTTTTTGGGGGTCTTCCCCACCCTTTTCCCTTGTGCCTTCTTGCTTTATCACCCTGTGAACCAATTTACATGTTGGTTCAAAAAACTTAAATCAGATAAAGACTCTTGCCTCATATAGGTCACACCCAGCTGTGGGACTCACTACTGCCACTAAAACTCCATACCAGTCTCATGGTCCTTGCTGAATCAGTTTTTCTCATCTCCAGTAAAAACAATCCTGTCTGGGCCTGTGAACTGGACGTCAAATACAGCTTCTATCATACCCAGTTCCCTCTATGGTGCCTGTCCTTCCTCTGTGAGTGTCCAGTCTCTGATATTCAGGGAAAGCTCAGCCAACTGGTGATAACCACTAATGGCTAGCCCTAATAATGTATCCCTAATGGCTCATATGAGCCAATCCATCAGGGACTGATTTCCCAGCATATTGCCTTAAGATTGTGAAGTCTTTATGTCAAGTAGGAAAGATTGATTATGTTGCTAAGCTTCTCTGCTTCTGCACCACTTACACTAATTCCATCTGTCCCCATGTCCCATAGTCTTACAAGCCAGGTGGTGAGTGGTTTCTTGATTGCTTGTTTGAACAACTTCCCTAGTTCCAGCAGCTCTGTTGCTGAATATTCTCTGATTATCACAGTCTCCTGCACCAGACCATTGTTACGACTGCCATCAACATGTTGGACCATAGATGTTCCCTTTATTTGTATTAAAGGTGGAACCTGAGGGCCATCTTCTGCCGTTTATAGGGTGCTTCTTCATCATTACCTGATTCTTCCATGGGTTCCAGGTTTTGGGATCCCAGGATGGGCCTGTATTATCAGTCTAATCTGGGCTTTCCCTTTTGACTTCCTAGCCATTAACAGCAGCAGGCTAACACCTCCATCTCTTTTTTATTCAATTTATCAGCAGGCCAATTCTGAAGAGATTAGCCTCATATCCCTTTCTTGCTCCAATTCCTGTCTTGCACATTCAGCTTTCTTTGGGGATACTACCTCTGCCTGGGACAGATTTCTTATTACACATAGCAGCTACCTGCTGATACTTCTACCATGTGTGCTACTCCCAGGGCTTGTAAAGTCTGCTCTAGATGTCTGCTGTCCTCAAAGCATCTCCATTTTCCCATGGCTGACCCCACCAGTCAAGCAGGCATGCCACTCCATACAACCTTACAAGAGGATTACCGTCCCAGGATTTCCTTTGACATCTGCTTAGGTGACTTCACCGTAGTTATGGATCTCACCCATTGCACTGTCCATGCCACGGGTGCTACCCCCACCATCCCTATGGGAATAGCCCACCATGTCAAAATTTCCTTTGCCAACACTCTCCTCACCCAACTTTGATTTGGTTGTTGGTCTGCTTCCCCAAATTAGGGACAACACCATCTCTCTTCCCAAACTCATCCTCAGATTTATCATATCCTGGCTAATTCTATCAAGTGTAGCTAAAATTCATTCTGGGAAGTGTGAAAAACATTGGCCCTGCCCCTTGATCCCTATGGCAAATGGAAGTTTTGATTTTACCAAACTGCAGTCTGGGAAACAAGTGAGTTTATTGGGCTTACTTACAGAGCAATGAGTAAAGGTTTACTTACAGAAGTGTGGTGCTCCCCCCAGTCCCTGAAGGCTGTACTGGAAAGTCTTCAAGTGTAGATGGTGACTTTCCCACAGCCACACAAAATGCCAAGAGACCCTCCCCAGCTTATATACCCTTTTCTCTCCCCCCTCATGCAGCTAGGACTGACTGGTTAGTTGGAAGGTGTGGCTGACTCTCTTTACCCTTCCTTTCTTCCAGAGCATAGCAGTCAACAAGCTTGGCTGTGATGATCCTAGGCAAGCAGGTGAAATCAAGCTTGGTTAGAAGGCATCTGTCCATAGTCTGCTGGTCAGAGGACAATCCTATGCAACTAATGAGATTGCAGGAAAACTTTTTTTTTTTTCTCCAAGTCATGATTCACAAGATATGAAGGAAATCATAAACCTAACACATCTTACTAATAGGAGAAGAGAGAATCACTTTTTCCTATCATGCCTCAGTCAGCAGCAGAAACTATATAAGCAAGAAGCCATGGATATAAAAAAATGAAAAAACATTCATTTATAAATCAGTTCTCTATATAATTCCAATAAATATAGACAATACAGAAAAGCTTAACCTTCATAACACATACCTCATTCTATGTGGAATAACTCAGATACCTAAGAACGGAGGCCAGAGGCATGCCTTTAATCCCAGCACTCAGGAGGTGGCAGCAGGCAGATCTCTGTGAGTTCAAGGCCAGCATTTCTACATAGTGAGTTCCAGGCCAGCTGGGACTACAGGGAGATCCTGTCTCATAAAGACCAAAAAATAAAGTAAAAAAAAAAAAAACTGAGAATGTGAAGAATGCAGGAAGGCTTACAGTAAGAATACTCACTTGACATCAGAGAGTATATATACATGAGACCCAACACAGCAAAGATTATATGAAAATTTGCTACCACAAGGGAGACATTTCTGATCAGAAAACCAATATTTGTATGAGGTACCATCTGTGTAAACCATGAAAACTTTCTACTGAAAGTATTCTGAATGTAAGCAATTCATGTGTGTGATGAATTCTATGAATTTAAAATGTAGAAAAGCTTTGAATGGTGATACAAATCTCAGTGAATATTAATCCACATGCATTTGAATAACACTGTCAGAATCTTTATAATCAGGAAGTTTTCTAACATAGCACACTGTTCACTGACATTGGAAATCTCAGATAATTGAAGGACTCTATTAAAGTGGAGAGCATAGGAAAACTTTAGTAGATACGCCTGACTGTAGAAAGGGATAGAGGTCATCATGTTTCATGGAGTAGGGATGGTTTCATACCAGGAAAAAATTTAAGTGTCTCAATGAAGACAGTGACATTCCAATAGTTATGCCTTAGGAGATTCTGTTTATATTGCATTAGAAAAAGTAGAAATTCGTAACAGACAAGTTTTATGTGCAAAAAATGGCATGTTATAAATGGACACTATATAGAAGATACAAAGTGAGGAAACACTTTCTTGTGGAAGTGGGCACATAACTACATAGTCAACAGAAGCCATTGACTGTGTGGAAGGGGATGTTACTATATTCAAATTCTTGTTTTCAACGATGTTGTTTTTTAAAAGGATATGTGTGCAAGTGTCCACAGAGGTGAAAGGAGGGCGTTGGATAACCTTGGCTGCAATTCCAGGGGATTGTTAGCCATCCAGTATGGTTGCTCATAAGCAAATTTTGGTCCTCTCCAGGAGCAGCACTCAGCTTAAGCCTGAGCCATCTCTCCTTAAAAGTCAACCATGATATTGTGAGAATTGCAATGATGAAATACAAATTAAATGAGTGTGCTA